TAGTTCTGCAATCAATCAACCAGCTTTTTCAATTTATCTTCAATTCCTTCTCTTGTTCAAGCATTTTTCACAGAGACTTGTGATTTTTGAAGTTCGTCAAGTTTAAACTGAAGACCTAACTATATTGAATTTGCTGCTATAAGTTTGTCATTGAAGCATTTTAAGTCCTCGTACAAGTATATTACTTCCTGCGACTTATACTGAAGTGTTCTCGACCATTTGTGTTTTTCATTAGCAAATTTGTCTTGGATGTGAGAATGTTGATATTCCACATTTTGGTTTTTCCTTTAATTTCTCATTATCAGCAATAAGCTTCTCATAATTGGCTATAGTAACTGTGGGGAGTTTGACAAGATTTGCATGATCAAGCAACTGCTGCAGCTCAGTCATCACCAGGTTACCATCTATGCTGGCCAAATGATTATCCAATATATAATCTACCCCTTCCAATTGATAAGCTAGGAACAATTCCAAGAGTAACTACTCCGTTCATAAATCTCTTTGTGGCTTAAATTAAACAAAGAACTGTGGATTCTGGAAATCTGAAACTAAAACAGGAATTGCAGGAGAGATTCAGCAGGTCTGGCAGCATCTGTGGGGAGAAAGCAATGTTTCAAGTCTGGTGACATATCATCAGATCCAGACTCGCAACGTTATCTCTCTCTTTCTCTCCAGAGATGCTGCCAGACCTGCTGAATCTCTCCAGCAATTTCTGCCTTTGTTTCACTTTGTGTAAGGGAACAAGTTCATAAATTCCATGATTACTTATCATATTAGAGATAGCAAGAACTGCAGATGCTGGAGTCAGAGATAACACATTATGGAGCTGGAGGAACACAGCAGGCCAGGCAGCATCAGAGGAGCAGGAAAGTTGATGTTTCTGAAGAAGAGTCCTGCCTCAAAATGTCAATTTTCCTGTTCCTCTGATGCTGCCTGGCCTGCTGAGTTCCTCCAGCTCCATACTGTGTTAATACTTATCGTATTAACATGTTTTCTTTTATCAAGCCATCTAAAACACAAATCGTATTGTCAGCCATTATCAATGATTGAACTGTGTGTCTTAAAATATTAATTTGTTTTCTGGTCACAGAGTCAGAGAGATATACAGCACGGAAACAGACCCTTTGGTCCAACTTGTCCGTGTCAACCAGATATCCTAAATAAATCTCGTCCCATTTGCTACCATTTGACCCATATCCCTCTAAACTTTTCCTAATCATATGGTTTTGTGGAAAAGTAAGGGAATACTTCTCCCTTGGGGAAAATAATCTCAATAACCTAAAATAACCAAAACTATTTTAGTTGTCTTCAAGGAAGTATCCACTTGACTATCCTGAGGTGCATTCCCATTCTCTTAGGTTATACAAGAACTCGCTAAACCTGTACCATTGCCATTGATTTAAGAGCTGTTTTCTTTACTACTACTCTCTTTTCTAAATATTGCTTACGCATTCCTGTGACTATCACCAATTTACCATTCTGTATCCAACGATTTGCTTTTATATGTTGTGTCTTAAGAGAATGGTTTCTTAACATCGTTTTTATTTTCTATATTATTCTTTCTATTGATTGGAATAGGTTCTCTTGAGCTATGTGACTCAAGTTTCTCTTTAGTCAGTTCATACTTACTTAATTTAAATCCCCTTTCCTGCTCCCTTTCTCTCTCCTGTCTCTCTGCTGTCTCTTTCTCTTTGTAATGCTGTTTCTGTTTGCTTTTCCACCTTTGAAATTCTAGTTCTGATCTCTTGTGTTCTGACTCAATCTTTGTGAATGCTACCTTGTCAACTTCCAGTTCTACACTTACCCCAATCTCCTAATTCAGTTACCAAGATTGGTGGTTACTAGTTTGAGAATTCCGTGCTTCTGAGCTTTTGATTTAAGTTCTACTTTCAACAGCTCAATCACACTTTTTAGTTTGTCAGTGAACGACACCTTTAAAGTATTATCATTTATCCTACTCTGCCACAGGAACTGCCTACTGCAAAACATGACACTTGGATCAGTATAATCTTTCCTCTGAAGTGCAAGAAACTTGTGAGGGCATTTTTCTTTTAATTATGGACCTCACTTCTAATTATATGTCTATGGGTTCAATGGTGAGTGTAAGCCCTCTAATTAATATTATAATCAAGGTTGGAAGAGTGCACTGATTCTTTTTTAGTCCCACTCCTCTATTGGTCATAAATTATAAATTTAACCAGAGTGGTGACTTGGCAAATTATGTTTCTGATTTTGTATAATCACAGTTCAGCCAAGTTTCTTTCATCAACAAAGAATAACCAGTTTGTTGCAAATACAACATAAACAAACATGCGAAGATTATTAGATTGTGCAAATAATAAGGGAAAATAAACATAGTGGGCACCACTAACTGAGCACAATGTCTTGAAAATATTTGTGGTATAAATTTAGTTTTGCTTTCAACTGTCCACGCCGTCCATCCTTGAAGAATTCCTTTATACATTACAATAAAAGGACCAGCTCACAAGGTATGGCACCATCCTCTGGAATTAGTTTTGATTTTCTGTAGTAATCCTAACTATCCTTTTGAGACTAGATTCTGTGGGAATGCTTCCATTAGCTTTTAGCTAAACAAGTTTCTTTAACAACCTCTATGGACACTTCAGCACCTTGTCCTGCGTTTTTGGGCATACCTAGACTGCTTTTTGTTTTGTGTAGCTCTTTCTAAGCTAAAATACAAGATGACATTTTTTTTTAAACGACAAAGCTCTGTGAGGGCCATTGTAGATTTCGTCCCCTAAATTCTCCAGCCTTTCTTCTCCTCAGAATTTCAACTTGAGCTCAAGCATTCTGCATATTGAACAATAAAGTTAATATTTTATCTGCTTAGATATAGGCCTAAGTAAGAATAATTTCTTTGGCTGTTCCGACTCAGTGAGGCACAGTCTACGCAAGAACGTATCGGTAACAACCTCTATCTGTTATCAAAATAAAATGCTTGCTTCTGACTGCAGAGAGAAGATACTGAAGTTTGAAAACGCGCACTAACAGATTTAAGAACAACGTTATCAAACTTATGTTCGGATGTCTCATACCTTAGAGCTGATCTTTCCCTCCACTGTTCCGTAGCTGTAATGCCATATTCTTCATTCTGTTCTATTACCCTGATGTACTAATGTAAGGTATGATTTGTCTGGTTAGAACGCAAAACGATACTTTTCACCGTATCCTGGTACATGTGACAATAATAAATCAAATATACTAACAAAAACGCCTTCTGACCAAAGTTCCATCCTGAATTACTTGCTGTGGCAATGTGACAAGCTGTAACATGGTTTGAAAAGTAATGCAAAGAAACAATTTTACACTCAAAATAGCTTTTAATTCTGCAACCTATACTAATAAATGATAATTACTCAGTTAAAGATGAATAGTTCATTTTTGACTATCAACTCTGATCTTGCAAACACAGGCTGCCTAGTAGTTGTAATTAACTTAAAGCTTATTTGTATTGTATTTAAGTCGGGGTTGCTGATCAGTGTCTCAATCAGATGTTTTCATTTTTCTGCAGTCAGATCTGAACCAGATTTTTGCAACACCATATTTTTCAAATCTTTCAAGCTTCAGTAAACTGTATTCTTTTGACAACCTGCATTTATAAAGTACCTTTCACAACCTCAGAATCTACCAAAGCTCTTTTAAAGTCAGTGAAGTACATTTGAATCATTGTCAGAAAATGAAGAACTGCAGATGCTGGAAATCTGAAACAAAAACAGAAATTATTGGAGAAACTCAGTAGATCTGGTAGCATCTGTGGTAAGAAAGCAGAGCTAATGTTTCGGTTCCAGTGAAGAGTCTGAAGAAGAATCACTGAACCTGAAATGTTAACTCTGCTTTCTCTGCACTGATGCTGTCAGATCTGCTGAGGTTTCTGCAGCAATTTCTGTTTTTGTTTGAATTATTGTCACTGCTGTAATAGGAAATATGTTAGCTAATTTTCTCTTTCAAAGAGCAATGTGATGAAATTGGAAGTTTTGTTCTTGTTTTGGCAATCATGATTGACGAATAAATTTTGACTGTGATAACTCCCTGCTGTTCATTTGATTGGTGGTATGGTACTCATAACGACAACCTGAGAGAGCAGGTATTCCCTTGGTCTACAGTCACATCCAAAATATGGTACTTCAATTACTTTTAGCATTACTGTACTGGAGCCCAATGTTAATGCCTACTTGTTTATTGCACATACCCTTGGCCCATATTGGTCCTTTGCTCTACTGATTTGCAATTTGGATTATTCCTTTGAGCACAAATATCTCCAATTTTAACACTCCCATCTCATCCTACTCCTTGAGCCTTCTCTGTCTGATTGGTACCATCTTGTTTGTTGGGTGCCCAAATCCTCCCACTCCCAGCCCTCTCATGAATCCTCTCCTTCTCACCACGACTTCTATTCTCTTTCTATTTCATCCTACATGGCAGGGTCTTCACAAAATGATCTGATTCTTTAGAAATCCCCCACTCTCAGCAAGGTCACTTGTTGTAATTGTTGGCCAAAGCTTGCTTTTACCCCCTGAGGTGCGCACAGCTCTACTTTGAAGAAGAGTGAGAATTATGGGCGATGAGGGATGGACAATAAATGCTGGCCAACCAGTGACGCTCACATCCTACGAATGAATCAAAAAAATTTCTACAGTGTCCAATCTTTATTTATCCTCAACCAAGACCCAAAATTAATTTACTTATTATAACATTGTTATTTGTGGGAGCTTACTGAGTGCAAATTGATTGCGATGTTACCTACATTACAGCAGTGACTGCATTTCATAAGTACTCTTTGGCTGTGAAGTGCTTCAAAATGTCCTGACATTGTAAAACACGCTATATAAATGCAGAGCATTCTTTCTTATTTACTTATTTCTGGCTTGGTTGATGAGATTATTGGTGTAAAGCCTTTTCTCTATATGTTTGAAATGCTGTGAACCTTTTTTTCCCACAGGAAGTTGATGATCTGTTCAGAAAGCTGGATAAAGATGGTGATGGAAAAGTGAGCCGCAATGAGTTTCTTCTTGGCTTATTTCGGCATGGATCTGCTGCTTCAGTCCCTTCCACACCCTGCAAGCAGAAGTATCATTTCCATCAGGTTAGGTCACATTGAGTTAATCTTTTCTTAACTATTACTTAATGCATACTGTCAAGCTTGATTCCTGTTCCTTTTTCTTTTCAACTGGTGCATCCATTGTTCCTCCAACACATAGTTGCAGATCTGGGCAGCTTCATTCTCTCCACTAATCACCATCCCTGTTGCTTCTTCCTATATTTCCCATTGTTCACACTATCTTCTCCACCTTCCTACAATTACAGTTGCTCACATCCTATGCTACTATTGATCCAATGTTCTGTCTTTCCTTCTCATTAATCTTCTCTTGCACTGTCTTCCCTAACTCCTCACCACCCCATCACTTATCCTGAATACTTAGTGCTCCATCTATTCACTGCTCCCATGCCATCACCCTTGCATTGCTTACACTCTCCCTTACTTCTCTCTTCTGATCCCTTACCATCACCAAAACTGAAAACATTGCTCTCAAGCACTCATCTAAAATGCTAAGTTCCCTCGTTCTTCTGGAGGCCTCACTGTTTCCTGGTATTATAAGAACATTGAGCTATAAAGGAAACACATCTAGAGTTTACAGAAGAATGACCAGTGTCATAAAAAGGAATCGGGGAGCATTGAAACAATTCCTCAAGTGGAACAGGAACAGAGGGTCTTAGACCCTGCTGGATGAATGACATAAGCCAAAGCAGGCAAGTTCTGAATTGGTGCTATACCTGATGATTTGGACAGCAGAGAAGTTGACCAATTGAGCAGTGGATCCGTGACAAATAGAACTTGTTTGTAGCAATTTCTTAATGAAGAATTCCAGGAATAAGGAGTGACAAATACGGTTCCCAGACAGGAAACTTCAGTAACTATATTACTTGCATGAATAATCAATTATTTTCTCTCTCAGAACTTTAAGGAGAACAGATGCAGAACAGCAATTCCATCCTTGATGTCCAGCACTGTTGGTTTGCAGCTGTTTTCTGGTCTTGATGATGGCACTGGTCATGCAACACCAGAACAAATAATCAGCATGTGGCAAGAAGGTGGAATTAAAAACAGTCAGCAGATACTAGAGGTGAGACTGAGCACTTGTTGAGAGCACGGGTGAATGTGTTGTGTTCTGGCTGAGTTAAAACAAGGTCCAATTTGCCTTCTCAAATGGACATAAAAGATTCCATGGTACTATTTTAAAGAACAGGGGCGATCTTAATGGTGTCCTGACCAATAATCATCATTTGACCAACATCACCAATCCAGATTACCTGGTCATTATCTGAGGACAATAGAGTACCTGGTTATTTCTGGGACTGCAATGTGTGCAAATTGGCTTCTCTGTTTTCTACATTACAACAGTGACAATACTTAGAAACAATGAAAGGTGCCACATGATACAAATGTTTAAAGTTTCATTTAAGGAATTCCTTTCCCTTTTCCTTCAAAAGAAAGCAAATCAAACTTCTGGTAGTTATTAAATTAATGCATTTTAAACATTTTCAATCGTATTATTTCTGAGCTAAGCTTGCTTTGTAGATGGTAAGTACCTGCTATGTCTTTAGTACATTTCTTTTAAAGGTTTTTTTCTTCTTATTTCATTTATCCAGAATTGGTTGTGAACTGTTTTTGAATTGTTCTTTTAATAAGTGGGTAATTATTTCTTACTTCCTACTGAAGAGGAGGAGGAGAGAACCCGATTATTCAGAAATCAATGCCTGTACTTGTTTATCATACGAAAATGGAGCTAACTAAGTAAAGAAACTTGAAAAGTTTTCAGGCATCCAATGCAAAAGGTATGTCCATGGGACTTGAAAGTGAGGATTTTGATGGCTTTTCTAAACTCACGTTAGCCGGATCCAATTTGGGACAGAATAGATCTGTGATAATGTAGAATCTTGCAGCATAGAAAGATGTAACCAACCAGTTCTGCTCTTTCCATAGTGTCCTGAAAATGTTTCCTTTTCAATCACAAAAAGTCCCTTTTTGAAAGCTAGTACTGACTTCTGGTGTAGCTCTGCTTTGGTAAAGATGGCAGCACTAGCTACGTTAGTTTTATTTCAGTTGGTGTTGAAAGTTTGAGTCAATACTGACTTTTTTACTTAAAGATCCGATTCAACGTGAGAGAAACACATCCTCCTATGTAGGTCAGTAGATTTATTTAATGCTATTTTTGAACCATTGCATCAAACAATAGGACATATAAGAGGATTTATTTTCAAATGGTTTAAATCAATTCAATTTATCTCCTGGGATTCCTATATTCATACAGCTGCACGCCCACATTTGTCTGTTCCTCTGCTAACCCCTTATTGCCTCCTTCTGCTCGCTGTCCTGCACCTTTACCCTTTACCACTCCCTGCAAGTGAGGGAACAGCATAGCGAGTGGGTAGGAGGCAGTTTGGGAGCTGGGCAGTAAGCAGAGGGCTGAGTGCAAGTTAGTGTGTACCAAACGGCAGAGCGATGCTGACATCTGGTTCCAGATGCACATCGATGACTGACAGCGGCACTGACTTCCTGCCCCAGTGTGATATCATGAGGTGCAGAGATTTTGCATTTGGGCACAAATGTGGATTGAGAACTTGAAGAAGGGAGCAGAACGAGTTAACTTGCAGATATATTGTTTTTAACACTGTTTGTAAAATGGTATTTTCAGCAATTGGGAAGGGTGTTGGAATGGCCAAGGGCAGACTGTGTTCAAGAGGTGCCGAAACCATATGTCACCAGCACCACAATTGCTGTTAATTTTGATCGCAATCTGTTGGAGCTTCTTGCAGTTTCATTGTGTTCAGCCATTTCAGTTAAGTGCTGTTTATTAATGCAATAATTGGCAGTCAGTGACTTGCAAATGATGACCAGGATGAGACTATAAGATGCAAGGGCAAAAGTAGGCCACCTTGCATCTGCTTTGTCACTCAGTGGCTAATCTGATAATCCTCACCCCCACTTTCCTGTCTCTTCCCATAATCGTCGAGTTTCCTCTATCTGATTTCTGATGAAAGGACACTGGACTTGATACATTAACTCTGTTTTTCTTGCTACAAATGCTGAGTTTCTCCAGCACTTAGTGTTTTAGATTTTTAGCATCCACAGTTCTTCTTGGTGTTCATTTTATTACTCTCAATTCATTTACAGATTAAAAATTTGTCTGTCTCAGCCTTGAATATACTGATTGACCAATTTTCTACACCCCTTTGCGGTAAAGAGTTTCACAAATTTCGTGGCTTGTTATTTTTTCCTTTTTTTATCACAGACTGGTTTCTCTTGTTTCTTTATTCTTTCTCATTGTATTCAGAGTTCATATCCAAACATTTGCACTTCATCCAGGCACATCATTTGTTTATTTACTTCATCTGTTACCATTTCCTTTGTCTTTTGTACCATGAAACCTTTTTGCCAATTAATCTCTCCAATCTCCAACTTTCCCTTTTGTTACAAAAAACAGAAATTACTGGAGAAACTCAGCAGATCTGGCAGAATCTGTGGAGAGAAATCAGAGTTAATCTTTCGAGACCAGTGATTCTTCTTCAGAAACCCTGCCTTCCACCTTCCCCCACTGCCTACACTATTCCTTACACTTGCTTAAAATCTACTATATGTCTATCCTTCCTCAGTTCTGACCAAACTCATTGACTTGAAAATTAACTGCTTCTCAGACCCGCTGAGTATTTCCAGCATTTTCTTGTTTCATTTCCATGCTAAGTCCTGTAGTTTTCATGCAATGTGCTTCATGACTGGTCACAAAAACATTGAATTGCTCCAGAGGAGATATTCAGCCCAATCATAGAATCCCTACAGTGCAAAAGGAGGCCATTTGGCCCACAGACTCTCTGAAGAGCATCTGACCCAAATCCAGCCCCCTACCTTATTCCAGTAACCCTGCATTTCCTATGGCTAATCCACCTAGCTTGCAGATCCGTAGACACTATGGGCAGTTTAACATGACCCATCCACCTAAGCTGTACATCTTTGGACTATGGGAGGAAACTGGATCATTTGATGGAAACCCCTGTAGATACAGGGAGAACATGCTAACTCCACACAGACAGTCACCCAAGGATGAATTTGAACATGGGTCCCTCTCACTGTGAGGCAGCAGTGCTTTCCACTGAGCTACTGTGCTACCCAGCGTGTCTGCACCAGCTCTCTAAATGATTCATTCATTTATTTCAATTGTTCTGTCTTCACCATGTAATCCTGCACATTCTCCATTTTAAGATCTTATGGAAAGGGAAAAGACCATCTAACCACTTCACTTGCCATACTTCAACTAATTAATTGTAGGATAATATTGATATGGGAACATAGAAACAAAAATAAACATTGACCCCCCCCAACTATATTCTGTCATTCAGTTAAATCATAGATAGTCTGTAAATCTATTTATGCTATTAAATTTATTAACCATCTTTAAATCTATTTACAGCTTTGGTTCTGTAGCCCTGAATATCCATGCCCAACCAAAATCTATCGGGATAATGAAACAAAGAACTGAAGATCTGATAGGTTTTTAACACAAACACAATCAGTTTTCAAATTTTCATTTGAGCTAGCCTTAACCAACTTTCAGGGGGAATAAGTTCTAGATTTCTAATGCCAGTTGTGCAAAGAAGTATTTTTTTGACATAACCCTTTAATAGCCTTGTTTTGAATGTCCAGAAGAAACATTTTCCCTTGATCTATCCTGACACATCTGCCTATCATCCTAAACACCTTTCTTAAGCCATCCCTGATTCTTCTATATTCGTGGGAATATAAATCTCTACAACTTGTCCTCACAATTGAATCCTTTTAGTCTCTGTGTTACTCTGCATGACCTGAACTCACTGTTTGGACTGGAATGCAATCATGTAAAGATATCCTTCCTAGTCTGCCATAGTCATGTGACCTCCACCATGAGGAGCTCAAACCGTAACAGGCATAAGTTCACTTCAATAGAGACCTCACATTGAATACAGTCCTGCGTTGCACACAGAAAACATGGCATCAGGAGTGACATGGAGCTGAATGTTGCATAGCTACCAACAAGGAGATCCAGCTACGTGCAGAGATGTGAGCTGCCACTAAAATAAACAAAAAGTAGAGAACAAGGAAGCTAGCCACAATTAAACACTGGTTATGAGAAAATGGCTGCAACTTGTCTCTCATCAGTTCCTATTCAAATGACAGGGGATATTATACAAAACATGGGCTTTTTCCACGCAAAACAGCAGAATTATGAAATAGCAACACATTTGTTGACAAAGACAGAACAGTTATGAGTCATTGTACTCTTATCACTGCTGGGTAGAGACTGTTTCAAAATATATTCCTACGTCTCTCAGAAGAACAGAAAAATATCAGTAGAAATTTTCGAAGCTTTGAAGTTAAGCTTTGAGCCCTAAGTAATTGTTACATATGAATGGTGTGTTTCAAAATTCAGGACCAAAGTGAAACAGAGTTCGTTGATCAATACGTAACATGATTAACTCAGCATGAAGAAGCCTGTGAATTTGTGTAGTGAAAGCATGATCTAATTAGGAGAGGATTTAGTCTTGCAGTGAGAACATGTCTACTGAGAGAGGAAAAACTTATACTTGGGAGGGCAGTTGATATGTGCAGATGTGCTGTATTTTTAAATGAGTAGCTAGTGTATTTTCATGGTATATCAGATTTTGCATTATGATGATAGGTCTTTCAGGCACAAAGGGCAGAACAATCAGAGACAAAGGGCAGGATGCATATACTGAGGAGTACATCATGCAAGGGAGAAGGATGTCCAGGGCGGGTATGGGAGTAAGCTCACTGCAAAAGGCTGAATCATTTTGCACATAAATGCCGGCCTAAAAGGAAGCACATCAAGCAGGTACGGATGACAGCTGAAGAGATATTGGCTAAAGATTCCTATGAACCACACAAACCTATTTGACAGGTTCGTTACACGAGGCATGAGAGTCAGGTTGAGGTATAGTTGGTGACCGTTATGATTTGACGACTGCAGAAGGAGAACATCAGGTCACTGTAAAGTCTCAGACACCGGTGCATCATGCAATGTCATTACCTTCATAAGAACTGTGTGAAATCATGGCAATTCAAAATGAAGCCTTCAAAAGTAAGGTTAAGGATAGATGACATCACCAAGAGGGTGGATTACTCTGTGAGATCATTGCAACAACATGTTGCAGATCATAGACGGCAAGTAAAATGTCCCTCTTCTCAGCCAGGACAAATCTGAAGCTTGAAATGGTAATGCTCAACATGCCAAGAGAGTGTAGAGTGTTGAAGTGCACTAAACCACTGATCATAGAACAGTGTTTACAGAGTTATGATGTCTTTCAGGAGAATATCATCATTAAATAGATATGAACATGAGACCAGATCAGCATTTGCTGAGGAAAGTTCCACCTGTCCTTGAGACAAGGCTGAAAGGCAAGAAAGCTGGAATAGACAGAATCCAGAAAGTGCAACTCCTATAGAATGGACTATTAGCACGGTACCAATAAAACACCACATAGAGAAATTGAACAAGTCCCACACAAACAAGGCAATCCTTGAATGGAGAATAATTCCTACTGAAGGCAAGGGAAGTAGTCCAGTACAAAGACCAATGTCATTGCACACCTAAACTACACGATCAATAGCAAAATAGCAACTGAAGCCAGAGGCAGTAGCAGATGTGAGTGGACAAAATCAAGGTAAAATTTTGAAAGCCAAATTTCATTTTGACAATACTGCCAAACTATTGCCAGAGTTGAGCATTGGAGAGCCAGTCAAGGTACGGACATTCAACAATTTCAACAAAAGCCAACCCAATTGGCAACTTGGAACCAGTATGGACAAGTTTTTAAATGTACACAGTGAAAGTGTATGATATTGTCTACCGTCGTAACCACAGGCACCTTCGCCCAACTGCAAAAGCTGTTCCTCACCTACAGGCAGCTGATCAGGAAGACGTGAATGCACCACCTGCACTGCAACCATCAAACCCAGAGGTCCACAGCAACCCAACAACAGAAATGGAAGCCAATAGGTCCAACAGTGATAGCAGATGACACAAGAATGATATTCCCTGGGAAAACACATCACCCCGATTATTAGTCAATGATGATAATACCCACATGTACCATTTAAGATACCAGCAGTACTCAGGGACAAAATTCCCTTGAATTTTTTTTCTCAATTTGAAAACAGAAGTCAAATGTGTTGGCACATCATTCAGTGGAACGTTAGAGTGGCTGCACAGCCACACAGCTTAAAGGGAACATTATTCAAGAACAATATGTTTAATTGATATGCAGAGACTGATAGGAGTAGTGAATTGCTAATGCATAAGAACAGGTCTGCATATATTTGTTAGTGTGGATAAATGAAACATTAAATGATAATGTATGCAATTTTGTTCTTTGTTTTTCACATTAAAAAAGGGATGTTTGTATTGAAATCCAATTGTGCAAATATCCTTCCTCATCTGCTGTATGTTAATTGTGATTTCTACCATGAGGCTCACAAGCTTTAGGTAGACAAATTAAATTCACTTCAATAATGACCTTGTGTTGAACACGTGTATCATTGTATTGTACATAAGAAACATGTACCAATTCAAAATAAAAACCAAAAGAACCACGTATGCTGCAAATCAGGTGCAAAAACAAAGTTGCTGGAAAAGCTCAGCAGGTCTGGCAGCATCCGTGAAAGAAAAAATAGAGTCAATGTTTCGGGTCCGGTGACCCGAGGAAGGGTATTCTAAGGAAGGGTCACTGGATCCAAAACATTAACTCTGTTTTTTTCCCTCACAGATGCTGCCAAACCTGCTGAGCTTTTCCAGCAACTTTGTTTATGTACCACTTCAAGGCCAGTGTATCCTCTTGAAGACCTGGGGTCAGAAATGAACATGACAGTTTGGATGTGAACTGACCATAGGTTTTTGCAACTGCAGTATAAACTTTAATGTTTTACATCAGTCAGAGGACTTAATGCTGTTCTGTTACCTGAGTAATTCAGCTTTGCGCTGATACATACAAGGGGCAAGTGAAAAAAAGCACTCCCAATGCCTCAAATGTATGTAAGTATAATCTTGTATGTGGAAGAAATACCTTTAGTTTGCTTGTTGGACAGAGTCAAACTCCAATGTTTATATGTTTCTTCACACGGTACTGTACAGAACCAACTGCTTCAGTGGCTATTTATATAAAGATATTTTTATGAATAAAGTATATTTTTGAAATTGAAAAAAAGCTAAATCAAATGTACTACTTTCTGTTAAATATCACACATTTGTGTTTATTTCATGAGACTATATGGAAATTGGGCAGTTTGCCGTGAGAGGCAATGATTAGATGCTTTTGATGAACCAATCCAGTGGATTGTAGACTTACCTCTGTCCTGATTGGCCCATCATACTTGTGCTGAATCTTTAAAATATCTACTCAAATAGTCTCACCTCACCCTCCTTTTTCTCCATAGCTCTCCAATTCATTTTTCTTTTTAAAAATGTATTCAATTTATTTTTGAAAATTGCTGCTAAATGCAGCAAGTTCACTCCAGATCATTACGACCCACTGGGTAAAAAAAAATTAAAATTCTCATTATCGCTCGAGTACTTTTACTGTTAATCTTAAATCCGTGTTGTCTGTTTATAAACTGTCCAGACCGTTTCTTCCTTATTTACTATAGGAAAAAACGTTGCACAATTTTGAACATATCTATGCAATCTCCCCTTTACCACCTCAATTTTATGGGTATGCACTTATTATAAATGCATAATTCTACAAAAATGTGATTCATATTTTGATGTAGAAATCTTTGCATATGTGCTATTGTTCCCCCCCAAGAAGAGAATGCATTGATTCATTCATTTACTGGTGTAGATTATGGAAGCCTATTTGCAGCATTCACTTTTTAAAGTGCCCATCGTTCCTTTTTGACAGACATTAGATTTTGATGTGGAACAGAAGGTGAATCTTGCAGAGCTGACCAAAGCACTCAACAATGAATTATTGACCAGCAAAAATGGAATTCATCAGGCTGCATTCGCCTGTTACAGAAATGAAATAAACTGCCTTCAGTAAGTGTGTTCATTTTAACTTCCTTTTTAGTAGTAATTATTTTCCATGTTGATGAGTGTCATCCATGGCTAATCAGTGACCAGGTAGTGGAACACTTGCTTCGAGCTCAGAAGTCATGGGTTCAAGTCAGGGACTTGAGCACAAAAGGGAGATGTTCCAGTACAGTACAAAGGGAATGCTGCACTTTCCAAGGTACTGTCTTTTGGCTGGGATATTAAACAGGGATGCTAGTTCTCTCGGGTGAATGTAAAAGATTCTAAGGCTGTAGTTTGAAGAACAGCAGAGTTCTCTTTGGTGTCCTGGCCAAAGTTTATTCCTCAACCACATCACTAAAACTAACTGATCAACATCGTTTTACTTATCTTTGCAAACTGGCAGCTTTACAATAGTGACTACTTTCAAAATGTATGTAATTGACTGTACAGTGCTTTGGGACATCCTAAGGTTGTGGAAAGTGGAATGTAAACGGAGCTTTTTTCCTTCTCAGTTATGATGTTAAACTCTTCTGTGTACACCTCATATCTTAAATGCTGCAATTTCAAACAACCTGTGAAACAGAAGTTATGGCACTTGAAGATTTAAGGAATTTAATTCTTTTAGAGTCAGGATGTGTTAAAAAGACCTATCTTGCTGTTCCACCTGCCATCTGTCGGCTGTTGAAGGTATTGCTGTATAGTTGTAAGATCCATTTTGCACACCCCATTGTTTTGTTACGAATACTGAACTCTAGGCAATTGGAAAGTTGGTCCTCACTGTGAATAGACAGATCATCTGGAAACCATTAGTGGGTGGCACAGTGGCTCAGTGGTTAGCACTGCTGCCTCACAGCGCCAGGGACCTGGGTTCAATTCCACCCCCAGGCGACTGTCTGTGTGGAGTTTGCACATTACCCTGCATCTGTGTGGGTTTCCTCCGGGTGCTCCAGTTTCCTCCCATAGTCCACAGATGCGTAGAGTAGGTGGATTGGCCATGCTAAATTGCTTGTAGCATCCAGGGATGTTTAGGTTAGGTGGGTTAGACATGGGGAAATTCCGGGGTAGGGGAATGAATCAGGGTGAAATGCTCTTCAGAGGGGTGTGTGGACTTGTTGGGCCGAATCGCCTGTTTTCACACTGTTGGGATTCTATGATAACGAACACCATGAAAACATATATAGCTTCTAAATGGCTTTCCTACTTCCGCTGTGGAAACACAGTTGAGACCAACTCTGATTGCCATCTTGTATTGACCACCAACCTCCAAGCCATATTCTGATTCCCCATCCAAACACTATCTCTTTCTGTGCCCATCCCTGAACAAATGCCTCCCTCCATTTAGTTATAATTGTGCTTTCAAAATTCTAGCCTTTGACTCACCATGGGTTTCTTTTCACTAAGACTGAGATCATTTGATCAGTTGCCTTTTCCATTTCCCTACTTTCCCCTTGTCCAATGGACCAACTTCCTCCAAGGCATGCACCCAGCCCTAGTCCTGACCTTGTATATTTTTCTAACTTCTCTCCCATCTTCCCACATGTTCAGGTCATCTTGTCCATGAGACCCACCTGCTCGTTCAACTCTAATCCCACGAAACAAGTAACTGTCCAATTTAGATATTGGGAAGAGGGATGACATTGTCTTTGGTCACTGCTACAAAATCCATTTGCCAACTACCAACTTCATTATTCCCCCTGACAGCGGTATTAGTTGAGTCAGATTGTTTGTCAATCTGGTATCATATTTAACCAGATGAGCTTCCTGCATCATAGTCAAGCCATTGCTAAGACAACCTGTTTCCACCTCCATAACATTTACCAATGATGACCCTGACATGGCTCATCTGTTACTGAAACCCTCAACCATTGCCTTTATCTTGACATTATTGTAATGTACTGTTCTTCAATGTTCTGCCTGCTGTAAGCTTGTGGTCATTGAAAACACTGCTGGCCATCTCCTTGCATCAATTCTTGCTCATTAATGGCCTGTATTCAATGACCTTTATACACTCCCAGTTATGTGGGAGTGATTTGAAAGTTCTTACCCTTATTTTTGGATCCCTCCATGGCCTCCTCGCTCCCTTTCTTTGTAAATCTCCTTCAGTCCCAAAACAGTCTGAGATATCTATGCTCCACTACTTGTAGCTTCTTAAGCATTCCCAATATCAGTTGCCTATTGTGGCCCCAAGTTCAGGAAATTCCCCACCCCCCCCACCTCTATCTTGCCTTTCTCCTTAAAGCTTACCTCAGACTAGCCTTTGATGATCTTTGGTGATAACTCCTTATAATGGCCCTAGAAATCCTCTGGCAAAATACTTATTTAAAGGTGTTGTGGAATTACGGTTGGCTGTTGTGGTTACTGGTAAAATTGAATATTTGTTTCTTAGAAATAGGTATCTGTTGTTTCCTGTGTTCCAATGCAGTGGTGTCAGATGAAACATTAAGCCTAGATCCCATCTGCTGTAAAAGATGTAAAAGATTGCGTGCCACTGTTTGTAAACAAATAGAAGAGATATGTCAGTATCTGAACGCTAATTATTTCTTGACCTGCATGGTGGCTCAGTGGTTAGCACTGCTGCCTCACAGCACCAGGGACTGAGCTTCGAATCCACCTTTGGGTGACTATCTGTGTGGAGTTAGTACATTCTCCTAGACTGTCCCTCCCAGAGTCCAAAGATGTGCAGGTTAGATGGACTGGCCATGCCAAATTGCCTGTAGCGTGCAGGGATGTGCAGGCTGTGTGGATTAGCCATTGGAAATGCAGGGTCACAGGGATAAGGTGGGGTGGTGGGTCTGGGTGTTACGCTTTTCGGAGGGTCGGTGTGGACTGGAGGGGTGAATGGCCTGCTTCCACACTGTAGGGATTCTATGATTCTGTGGCACCAGTAAAATAGATTATCTGGTGAAAACAACTTTGGTATATGTGGCATCTTGCTCTGCTCACATTGGCTACCCTTTCATTGTGTTGCAACAATGATTATACTTCGGGAGTATATCCTTGGCTGTAAAAGGGTGTCTCGTGCTTATGAAAGGCACAAATTTCTGAAGAAGGATCCTGACCCGAAATGTCAACTTTCCTGCTCCTCTGATGCTGCCTGGCCTGCTGTGTTCCTCCAGCTCCAAATTGTGGCGTCTCTGACTCTAGCATCTGCAGTTCTTGCTATCTCCATGTAAATGTGCATTCTTCCTTTATTACTTAGGATTGCAAAGTACGTCAGAGATGAGTGTTGAATGTTGGAATGTGGCTGTCCCAGTACAATAGATAGATGGTGATATATGAAAAGCCAGAATTGTATCCTAAAACACATTAAAGTAATACTTAATTAGTAAAAGTTCTGTAGTTCTTCATAGGGGAGTATTGAACTGCCCCGTTGTTCTAATTGGTCTCATTACTTTAACACAAGTGTATACACATGTAGATGTAACAGCCGTTTATTGAAACACCGCTCTCAAGATGCCTGTGAGAGCTCTATAAGATTATTTGCTTACCACTGTATTTTTTACCCTTTTATGCATATTATCAATAAATCATGTTGAAGCAAAGATGCGTGTGGGTGACTATGTAATTAATTAATTGTACCATAATAGAGAAATAGTATAGCCAATTAATTGTTAAACAAAGATACATGACCCCTGAAAAGCATTTTATCTTGCACAATCTGTTTCAACTGGCCTATTACCATGGTTACATTACCTAATTAGCTCAGTATTGTTTCTTGTAAGCACTTATGATCAGATAGACATATTCTAGATCATTACAGATGTTGCTGAGTGTTTACTTTCAGACATTGCATCATTCCCTTAATCAGTTGAGATATAGCACCCTGCCCACACGGTGTACAACTTACATTCCCAAATTTAACCTCACCATGTTCAATGGAAAGTCATTTTAAACTCATAAGCTGGTCTTTAAGAAGTGGCTGATCCCATAAGTTGTACAAGACATCAAAATATCCTTGATACTGCGGGCTGTCATTCCCACACTCTTCCAATTCTTCTCAATCCTGCCTGCCAGGTAACATCTGTACAGCTTGTAGTCCTTGTTTTCCAACACTCCATCTGCAGCAAATTATTGTTAGCAGTGCAGTTAACTGAAATAACATCAGCAAAAGACCCGGGTGTATCATAGTTTTGATCACACTGAGCGCAGTAAGGATGCAAGTGAACTGTGACTCCCACCCACACACATATCCGACCTGTAGATCTGTGGAAAGATTAATTCACAGAGGAGACCATTCATTCCGTCATGCGTCCCACTCTTCTGATTCAAAGTTTTTAGAAGTCTCATTTTGGACTTTGCAATGGTGAATGCCCACAACAGTTGCTTGATTCAAATGCTGGAGCTGTTGAAATTTCCTTCTGGTACAGCATCTGTTTCCTCCAAATAGCAGTTTGGGCTTTAATTTATAAATAACAATCGTGTGCTGTGAATGTCTGTGGAACAAAGTTTGCACCTCACTTTGTGGTGGGTTTCCTGCCACCATTCTCTTTGACCATAGGGATCTACCGAACCTGATTGGTCTAGTGTGATAGAGGAAAGGCACTTATTGGTCTAACTAGAAGAGACCATTGTATGAACAAGAAGTGGTTTGTTTCATATTAGTAACTCATTACAGGTTACATTCAGATCCACAGGTTCATATCGTGAATCTCTTTTCTTCCTGCCACCTTCTTGTGAATTTACCCCTCCTGTTTTATTCGAGTAATTCCCAAACCCTCTAGCAAAAGCAAAATACTGAAACCTGAAATCAAAACAGAAAATGCTGGAGAATTTCAGTAGGTCTGGCAGCATCTGTGGAGTGAGAAACTAGGTTTAACGTTTCCAGTCCAAAATGTCTCTTCTTCAGAACTGAAGTAATGTTGCCTTCACAATCTCAACAGGAATTGGGAGATTCCCAATCATGTTCTCTCCTTGCCTCTTACCACATTCCAGGTTATAGGGAGGTTGAGTGAACTGTTATGAGTGACAACCGACTAAGGAATT